TAACGAGCGTGCGTAGGGGATGATTGGGAATCGAGGGGAGCGGAGGGGTCTCGAAAGCGCCAACGATGCTATAATCGGGTCGATTTCATGCAGGATAGCGAATCAAATGAACGCTAATCAAACTCATCGTCGAAAAATCTTCGACAAAAAAACGAGAAAAAACTCATGTTTTTCTCATCTATAATACACTATTACATTATTTTTGTCTATGACCGGAGAAAACGACGATTCGATATTTATAAAATATTACAATATGTACAGCGAGACGTACAGGGTGATTGCTCGAATTTTACTCAATAGCTATCTCAGTTAATATTAGTCTTACAAGAACGTTCAAATGGGAAAAAATAAGTATTTTTTCTGGGCATTCAGAATCTATTACTAGAAAATAAAAAAAGCATTGTAAACCAAAATTTTTTATATAAACTAGTATTTTTACATGGAACACCCTTTATTTCATTTTCCTAATCGGTAGAGCTCTTTCTTCTGCATTCAAATATACAGGGTGTCTGTAAAAGGTAGGGACATGGCTCGGCTGTGGACTCCTGGGATAAAATCAAGTTGATTTAGGCCAACTTACCTATATCCAAAATCTTCTCGTTGAGTTGGCACAAGGCGTTGAAGTTCTTTTGGAAAAAAAATTATTTTGCTCATAGAAAGAGTAGGCTGACATAGATTTTCATAATTTTTGACATGGCATGTTCTGTGACTGTAAGTCACGTTTTGAGATGTTTTTGATCATCATCAGTGACCTGCAAGTGTTTCAAACAACCATGTTGCCGTACAAATTTGGTGATAACTTTTCAGAGGTCAGACTAGAAACTTCCAGTTTTTTTCCCAGAAAGATATTCCCTTCAGAAATATTTTTTTTATCGTGTTAATTTTTGATGAGTCTCGAGGTTCATTTGCAAATAAATAATTTCTGATATGATGCATCCTGCGCATTTATGAAAATTAATCTAATTAGTCGGTATGTTTATTAATCATGGCTACAATGCATTCTTATTGTTAACAAACTGATATGTTGCTGGTCATCGCGGGATTAACAAGAACTCTCGCGTTACAAATTTAGCGATAACTATTCAGGACCTAAGGTGAGTACTTTAACGCCTTGTACCAACTCAACGAAACGATTTTGGATATAGGTAAGTTTGCTAAAATCATCTTATTTTCATCTCAGGAGTCTACAGTCAAGCCATGTCCCAACCAGATTATTTTTCTGAAAAATGCATAAGATGCCTCAGACCAGAAATTATTTATTTGCAAATGAACCTCGAGACTTATCAAAAATTAGTACGATACAAAAAATATTTATGAAGGAAATATCTTTCCGGAAAAAAGACTGGAAGTTTTCAGTCTGACCTCTGAAAAGTTATCACCAAATGTGTACGGCAACATGGTTGTTTGAAACACTTGTAGGTCACTGATGATGATCAAAAACATCTCAAAATTTGACGTACAGTCACAGAACATGCCATGCCAAAAATTAAGAAAACCGATTTCAGCCTACTGTTCTCATGAGCAAAATGTTTTTCCAAAAAAACTTCAACGCCTTGTACCAGCTCAACGAGACAATATTGGATGGAGGTAAGTTGGCATAAATCAACTTGTTTTCATCCCAGGAGTCAACAGCCGAGCCATGTCCCAACCTTTTACAGACACCCTGTATATACTTTATTGAGGTTTTCTTTGTCAGTTTTCGAAAAATATAGATTCTGAGGTGAAAACTCGGATTTCTGTGCGAAAATCTACTTTAAATCTCAACAGCTTCTCATGATCTAAAAAGCACAGATACGGCCAGTTGCAGAATACTGTTTCCATTCATGAGGTTCAGCACCCAAGAATACGCTATTGCTCTTAGATTCCATCCAGGAAAGAGCCATTCGCCTGGTGGGTGGTGCCACACTCACTCTTTGACATCATTAGAACAACGTAGAACAGTCGGCGAGCTTACACTTTTCTAGAGATGAAGAAAAGCTGTAGAACGCCAGAAATCGCAGCATTGTAGTCTGACGTTCTCTACCTGCTTACGCAATAAGAGAAAGAGCTCTAAATAGGTTTATGAGCTCTACGGTTTAGGAAAATGAAATACAGGGTATTCCATTGAAAAAATACCAGTTTATGTAGAATTTTTAGGTTTACAATGCTTTTTTGCATTTATTTTTTTAGTGATAGATTCTGAGTGATCAGCCAAACCGTTTCGGAGGAGTTTGACAACAAACACCGTGACAGGGACAGGAGAATTTTATATATTACTAGCTGACCCGGCAAACGTTGTTTTTTAAATATTCATCAACACACTTTATTATTTATCCATAAAAGCGTGTTTAATCCTAGTTAAAAATACGCCAGTCGGCCAACCAGCCACTCCCATTTCACCTGGAATGGGAGATTGTTTTGGAGTGTTTCCTTCCTTGCAGGTTGCGTTCGGCGTTCGCGTTCATTTCGCGGTGAAATGCTGAGATGCGTTTCTGTTGGGTCAGGCTACTGCACGACCTGACCAACAAACAATTAAATCAAGACCCGCGCTTCGGAAGAATAAAGTACAGGCGCCCAATTCACCAAATATAAGATAAAAGAACGAAATTAAATCAATATCAATAAAAGTTGCATAATAATCATCAGATAATTAAACAAAAGAGTCTCTCTTTTGATTCCCTATAAAAAAGTGAACCATAATAATAAGACTTAAACTCAATTTTGCTTCCCATTAGGGTAGGAAACCACCACGCAAAGTCAGGCTAGGAAACACACATTAGACAAGAAGGTTTAAAAGTCGAGAGACTGAAACCAAGTAAGGGGTTTTATAAAACATATGCAGATTGCCGAATGCATAAGGTTGAAGTCCACTCGTTAGTGAGTGGGGGTGGATGGACATGGGGATGAGGAGCTATCATATAACGTAAGCTAGTTATATGGCGACACTGAACCACTTAAGCGCAGCTCGGCATTTAGGAAGGCAAAACTTGCGATTTTATTCGTTTATACGCAATATATTGCATATATTTCGGGATGTAATTCAATGTTCTGCGTGGCATATAGCCAGGAAACTAGTTGTTTTTCTCTCGTTATCTACCATTTTCGTTCATTTTATGAACTCTTGTGGTAATGACTTTCAAGTTTCTCTCTTTGTGACCATTGCATTCCACTTTTTCCTAGTTGGGAACATTTCCCGTTGGAGTATCTAAAGAAAAGAGAAAGGTCGCCGACTTTTCTACGGTGTTAAATAATTAGTGTGGCATCACCCTAGGCTCGTGAGCTCAATGGTTATTCCATAAGAAATGTTCAAAATCATTCGGATCAGTTCATAATCACTAAAATAAATACATAATCAGGTGATAATATATTGTGATATTTTGATACAATTATGTCAAACTTAGGTTCATGAATGAGAAAAATTCATTATAGTAGCTTTGATTCTCAATTCAGTTTTACGTAATATATGACAATATATGTATAATGTGTGACACATCGTTGAGATTAGAATAGAGCATACCTGAAATCACGAGAATATATGGGGTGCAATATAGATATTTGAAGTTGGAGATGATTTCATAGTTGTATAATTTGACGGTTTTTGAATTTGATAGTACAAGCTTCAAGATATTCTGGTTCAATTATTCATGTCTTTCAAATTCATCTGGGCAACATAATTGAGATATTGCAGAAGACCTGTTGAAATTCTTTACGGAAAAATACCAAACCTGATAATTAATAAGTATGAGTTTCATCAAACTTTTGAAGGTGAAGGGCTTTCACGCTGGGTTGATAGTTGCGCAATACTTGGTAACAATGTCGTGCCAAAACTGCACATCGAAAAATACTAGTAACTTTCAAAATGGACGGATCGCGTTATCAATTCAAGTTGACAAAACTGTACACCGATGCCAGATTTATTTGACATTTCTAGAAGCGATTTGTTGTGATCAGCTGATCTCTGGGAATTATTCATTACTGACAATTTGTACTTTCAAGGAATTGTTTGTGATTTATTTGTGGATCATAGGTGAAATTCGATTTATTCAAAATGCCTAAACCATTGAGTGCGGAGGCGCAGAAGATGGTGGTATATGCTGCTATATATTAGGGTTAGAAAATTGTATTATTTAGTGTAAGATTATATCTGTAGATTAGGGTTAGAAAATTGTATTATATAGTGTTAGTTTATTGTAATGACATAGTGGTTTCATGAGTTTTTGTGGGTTTTCCTCTTGAATTATATTGAGAATATCGAAGTAAGAACAACTCTTGTTGTCTATTCCATAATTTCCAATATAAGTAGATGCACCACTATTTATTTTCCCACGAAATAAAATCAATTGATCGAATTTCATTTCACCAATTTGAAGTAATTGAAAAACATTCAAAACGATTAGATAACCTCAAAATCGAATTCGAAGTTTTTATGATTTTCACTCAGTAAATGTGAATACTGATCAGTTTTATTAAAAAAAAATGAATTCAAGACATAATTGTGTATTGGTAGAAAAATAAGTTATCTTCAATGTCAATATCTGTGATTGTTTGTTCATGTTATATAATAAATCATTCTCCAAGTTATTATTCTTTATAAGAATTTCATTATCATTAAATTTCATACTCAGTATATTGTTTAGGTTCATGGTTCATTGAATAAAAATATTGAAATTCATTTATCAACTTCAAGTGCTGATTTTGAAACTTGAATGAACAGCTTTTGAGTTGGTTCCAAAAAACATTATAACGTCCGACGATCGTAACACTAGACATATCCATATTCGGGCGGATGGTCATTCAGTCATTTCCTTTCAACTGGCAACACTGTATGTGTTGACATATTGACGTCACTATCAACCCTGTGTGAAAGCCCTTTACTAGAGATTTCTTGATGTATTTGAAAACAGTTGATGTCGATTACATGCATAATATATCCATAGCCAGTAATACATTTCTTGCACAATATTCTGTGCAAAAATTGATGAGGATAGGTATATTTTTTCGAAAATAAAAATGAAACTTACGTTGGTGTTGTTATTTGACTTCCTGTAGTGAACATTGAGTCGTTTGCATCGTAAAAGTCGTCCTCCCCTTCTGAACTGGAATATGACATATCAGGAACCACCAGCGATGTTGCCGGACCTACAAAATTTACATAGACCAGTCATAGGAATTCCACTATTCATAATGTTCTGATTCAATTATGAACATTCGAAGAAAGAAGAAGAAGAAGAAGGCGAAAACGATCAATCAAAAACCCTACTGCAATATTTATCGTCGTATGATAAGCACGATATGATAAGCTATTTTGCTAAGTCATAGATATGATCATCGACTGTGTTTTGATAAAACATTTCTATAGACATGGAAACACTGATCAAGAAACGCCTAGTTTTCCAGATTGACTAAATAATTGTTAATGTACTTATATATTTTTATTTCATAAACAGATTCAATATAAAGTGTCATTTTATTAGGCAAAATATAAAGAATTTGAAATTTAATAGAATGAAGTTTTGAGCCGTAGGCGTTAGGCGATAGGTTTTGGATCAATGTCATGAGCGAAATTAAAGCAGCAAGCTGGAGTATGTCAATCGATCCATATTTCCAGGAAAAATGGCATTACGAGTTGTATTCGTATGAATATTTCATGATTGGGACAATAAACGAGCGCCTCGCGAAAATTGCGCACACTGCATCCATCATTCTGGCTTCCAACATGATTGAAGTTTTGAATGTCAAAAATTTTATCACTGGGAAACGAAGTTGGTTGGTCACGTGTCAAGCAAAAAAAATACCGCTGGAATACAGAAGAAAACGTGAAAATGATCGATTCTGATTGGTCCTCGAGCACAAGAGTGGAATGGTCTGTCAAGAATAAAAGTGTCATAAGGGGTGATACTTTATGACATGTTAACCGGTACAGGGTGAAAACGTGCAGCACTCAATATTTCTTCAATTGATGATACTATAAAAATTTGGCGAAATACGTCAATCTATACAGTATGGTGGGAATGAAAGGAATACAATCATTTCTAGCAAATCTCTCCATTTCTGAGAAAACTTCTGACACAGGTCAATTTTTGTTTTCAATTTTCCACATTTATATGTGAATTTCGAATAACAGTATTATCCACGTTTGAATTCCTACTTTTTCAAATAGAAGACCCTATATATTATTCGATTTTTGAGATCTCCATGAAAAGCTGGATTCAAAAATTCATTGCACATTGGGTTTGTATACAGGGTGGCATTGAAAAAAGCGCAAATATTTCAAACACTGAGAAAGATCGACGTGTACAATCGAAAAGCACTAATAAAAAAAATTTTGAGATCAAAATAAAATTTGGAGTTAGAGCCTTTTTCCACCCAAAGTTCTACACTGTAGCAAAAAGGACGTCACCTCTGATCAAATTTTCATGCGGTAGGCACAATCACGCGGAGTTTAATCATTTAAATTGTTTTAAAGTGGCGTACTTGATTTTTTCTCGTATTTTGTTCAATTTCTCGTTAATAAGAAGAATTAGAAAAAATCTGATATCATAGGAATATTCCTTGGACTGTATCATATTAATGTGCTGAATGTGCACTTATTTCAAAAACACCTTGTATAATGAGCCCAAGAAATTGAGTGCACCCGTGAAGTAGTGGATAAATTCATTTTCAGCCGAACTATTTTCTCCCAAAATAGGTCGATTTTTATTTTTAATTTGCTACATTTATAGGGGAAATTCAATTATATAGGGTGATCCACGTTTGAGTTCTGACGTCCGCGACAATTTTTTTCAATCGGAACACCCTATATTCCATCCACACTCATTCAATTTTCCGAATCTCTATGAGAAGCTGGATGTATAAAGTGCTCTCGTGGAATGGAATCGCACTGTATACGAAATCTATGTGTGTCATATTCTTCTGGATTTTATGGACATTCCAAAAATTGAATAACATATAGGGCGTTCTATTTGAAAAAATCTACGTAGACGTCACAACTCAACGGTGGATCACCCTGTATTTTCAATTTTCACTCTTTAATGTGGACAATTGAAAAAAAATCGACCTGTTTCAAGAGATTCCTCAAAAATGGATAGTTCGGTTAATAAATAATTAATCTACAACTTTACGAGAGCACTTAATTTAGTTGTCCACGGAAATTCCAGAAATTGAATAATATAAAGGGTGTCCCATTTGAAAAAATTATCGAGGACGTCAGAACTCAAACGAAGATCACCCTGCATATTGAATTTTCACTAATAAATGCGGTGAATTGAAAATAAAAAACGACCTGTTTCAGGAAATTTCTCAGAACAGGACAGTTTGGCCAAAAATGAATGTATTCCTTTCATTTGCACCATACTGTATATCGAGGGGTGCAACTTTTGAGGTATTATTGAGTCTTGTAGTCTATGTGAACAAAGTATTCCTAAGAATTCTTCTATTCACCTATTAATTACAGACATCAATATTAATTTCCAATTTCATAAATCACATGATCACGATTGGGATTTACAACATTACAACTACAACTTATTCTTTCAAATTACCCTACATTTAACTGATCAGTCAAGAAATGGCCCTGTGTGGTCTTTTTCCATACATGGGAACACTCCACCTCACATTCTACACTTGCTGTTTTGGAACCATCGGTACAATGAATTCGAGGTCAGTAATATTAATCTACAATTACGAAAAAAGTGTTAACGAATGTGCATGACGTATGAATTCGAAACATTGCCCTATCAGGCTTACGTACGAAACTGAGTTGATGAAACATAACCACTTTTCGTAAGGTTTCCTCTTATTTTGCAATAGATGGCGACATGACCACTGATATACCAAGGTTGGTAGAACTGATGATAATTTGTATTGGTAGAATTGATGATTAGTCGCTTTGGAGGTTGCCTCAATCAGAAAACATGAAAAACATTCTATAACTGTCTTCTGTCAAAAACATTAACAGTTGTCACTTCTGTGTACGAACTCTTATCTAACTAATATAAGGTTTGTTAATCTGTGCTAATACCACGCTGTGACTACCAAATACATGTAAAAATATTTCACCGCAGAATATTATATTCATCTTAGTAGAAACTGTGGTAGAAACATCTTCACAATCTTGGAGGAAGGTTTCTCGCACCGTATACGAGTAGAACATTCGGTATATATGAGTTATTTCGAACCATAAGGGTTTAATAAACATTAAGTTAATCAATTCATCCGTTGACCATTAACTATGGATACTGACCAACGAACTCACTCTTATGAGAAACGTGCAATTCTATAATAAACTGTTGTATACAGGGTGTTTCAAAAAAACCTGACCCTCTTGCTAGGGTAGGTGGAACACTGCAAAATAAGTTGGGTTTGTTCAGTGAAAAGATGTCATAACGGCATCCGTTTTCACGATACAAGGTGTTGAAAAAATTATTTTTTCACACATTTTTGACGATTATGTCGAAACTACTGGCAACATTGTAATGAAATTTCGTATGGATGTTTCTTGAAATCTGACACATCGCATCAATTTATTTTTATTTGTCACCCTCATAGAGGGCGCTAGTTACATGGTTCGTACCGAGTAGTTTTGAACATAACTTTTTTGAGGTAAGATTTTTCAATCCGAATATGATATGAACTTGAACATCCTTCAATTTTACACCAAAAAAGTACTTCTGGTGAAATACTATGTCCCGTTTTCGGAATATTTCGATTTGAAAATAATGGAGTAGTAATGATGCTGGTATGAAATGAATTTTATTGAGTTCAATTACCTATTTATTCAGATTCAAAAACAATAAAATTATTCTTGTGCTGAAGTTATCGATGGAACGAAGAATCATATGAGTAGAAAATCAAGAGATATTTGACTGAAAACATGAAATATTGAATCAGTTAGAGTAAGTGTTCAAAATGTCCTACGTTTCGACGAATTCACGATTCTAGATATTCTTTTCTTGAGAATTTACTATTTTTTCTATGACTGTTGAAAACTAGACCCTTTTAATGTAACATTTTTGTTAGGTAACTGGATGCATTACACAAAACAAGCCACGCCCCGTGTGTAAGAGCCTTTACACAACAGGCTATGGCCAATCAGCAACAAAGCAGATTCATTACCTACAAAACAGTTGACTCCAGTTGTATTGATAATATGGGGCATGCAGTGAAACGTTTGAATCAGACTAGTCATGAAATGTCATAATTTGACAATAGCTATCTGGCGTGATTTAGAACTGACTTTTTGTGCAAATATGGATTCAGAAAGCGAAAATGAATTCAACTGCTCTCCACCATCAGAATTTTTTAAAGCTGCCAATTCAAGTACAATCAGCCTTTTGCCCGAGGAATCTAAAAAAAGGTATGAAGTGGTTTGGCGAAGAGCAAAACTTGCAAATTCGTTTTCGGATAATGTACTGCTAGCTTGTTGTGGCGAATTAGCAGCTAAACACAAAGCATCCTCCTTGTGGTCACAGTATTCCATGCATATACTAAGAAGCACAATTTCAATTAAAAATTATGTGAATATTGACAAATATTTGAAATTACGAGCATTTCTAAGAAGGAAATCTGATGGATATATGTCAAAAAAAGCGAAGATATTCACTGCTGATGAACTCAACCAGTTCATCACTCAGTCATAGAAAAAGTATAGTATTCTACTTGCGTGTAATGGCTATTACTCATTCGAATGATTACGACGTTCGCCTGCGGCTCACGTCGCAAACTTCATTCTCATGAGTAATGGCGATCATTACACGCTCGTCGAATAATATACTATTTTTCAACAGTTGAGGATCAGCTGTTAGGTCATTTAAGTGATGTTCAATTATGTCTTGACGTGAATTTACCTATGTAGCATAGACTTCCTGCTCAGGATACAACAAAACTGTGTAATCCATGTTCTTAGTCAAATCTGTTTCGATGTTATTCTTGTGATTCATTGTTGATATGTTGAATAGGTGATAGTTTTTTATGATACTCTAATACATAGCTTCATACCAGCAACAGTTATCACTTCATCATTTTCAAATCGAAATATTCTGAAAATGGAACATAGTATCAAGTTTTACCAAGAGTACCTTTTCGATGTGAAATTGAATGATGTTCAAGTTCACATCAAATTTGAATTGAAAAATCTAACC